AAAAAGGAAAAAAAAAGGAAAAGAAAAAGGAAAAAGGTTCGAAAGAGAAAAGAGGAAACTTAAAAAAAAGAAAGAACTGAAAGTAAAAGATCGATTCAAGAAAAAAAAAGAAAATTAAAAAAAAAAAGGAATTGAAAGTTCAATTAGGTTCAAAAGAAAAGATAAAATTTTAAAAATAGGTTTAAAAAAAAATATAAATCGGTCTAATAATCCGATTAAAATTTCAATTGATAACAATATGACTTGCCGATCAAGTGGGTCTTAGCTATAAAGAATACAGATCAGCAATTCAAAATTAATTTATACAGGTTAATCTAAACGTAACTTGTGAAATTCATTATACAATATTTTGTACAATATATATAAGTAAAATCTTGTGAAAACATTGTAAAAGATTATAAGATTCATTAGAAAATGTATCAGAATTATATATTTTACAATTGATTGTGAATAAATTAATTTTAAAAATGTATTGTTAGAAATATCGTACTATATATTTTCAGATTTAAAATACCTTGTACAAGGCTTGTACAATGATTGCACAATGCATCATGAAAATTTAGCATTGTTAGCAAAGTATCATTTTCATGGAATTTATAGCCTTAAATCATGGAAATTTTCATCTCGCTAACACGGATATCCGTGAATGTATCATTTTCACGGAATTTTTACGGAAGATACGGAGAAATAATGGAAATATTCGGATAAAAATTTTTTATAAGGTAGACGTATAACATAGTGTATATAGCATCGGGACTTTTTGCCAAAATCTATTTTGCCGAAGCCACCGAACTCCATTTCGCCGAAGGACATAATATTTGATTAAATTTAATAAAATATGTTTATGTTTATTGTTCTTAATTTCAATTAACTTATACAATATCTGATATAAATATGAGTTATTTGCGAAAACAGATAAAGAAGTCTAATGATAATACGAAAATCATCTAGCAAATATATTAAGTACTAATATCTATTGCTATTACATAATGAATTATTGTTAAGTTTGATTTGGAAATAAGTAAAGTAAAATTTTCTTTTCGTTATATTTTATATTTTAATTAATTTGCAATATCACTAATAATAGATAAAAATGTATATTAATATTCAACTAATTATCCATTAATATTTATCAATAATAAAGAAATTATCAAATCAATTTAATAATATAAACCATGAAAAAAAGTAATAATATAAATAAAAGTATATATGCCGATTTCCAATGTAAGATATAAACTTACAAGAAAAATTCAAGAACCATTTTGGTCATCAACTATCTCTATTAAATAAATTAAAAATTAATATTACATACATAAAATTATAACAATGTCGGTATGTAAATTAAATACTTCTTGAGTGTAATGAGCTAGGGACCTCTAAATCAAGTAATTGTGAATCTTGACAATCTGTTAAAGTATTACATTAGTAACTATTTGAACAATCAATTATTGATTATGTAAAATGTGAAAATGGTACCTTTATTATCTTCTTCATTTAGATATGAAGTAATGATGGGTGAATTAATGGGTTTAGACAAATTGTTAAATGAAAATAATCTACTAGTATAAATGGCATCAGGATTCTTTTCATATGTAGTTGAAATATTTGGTATCTCTTTATCAGCTTCTTCAAATATGGCTTTAATATCTTTTCCTTTGTAACCAACTTTGCAGAAACTATAAAATTTTTTCCGATGTCAATATGGTATTGATAAGGTATCGGTAAAACACCAATATTGTAATGGTTTATATTCTTACACGAGACAGTTACCATTAAGTAACGGTAAAATAACTGCACATCATCAGTTATCGTTACAATGTTATCACTATATTATTATACGAATCTTCAAGACATCAAATTAAAGTCGAAAAGATTTATTATAATGTATTTTTAATAACTTATCAGTATCGTATAAATATTAGAACAATTATGTAACGATATATTAACGATATATGAGCTGTATTAATTAATAAATAACAAAATTTATTGCAAATTACTATTAAATAGCCTTAAAGTAGTACAAGTTTCTTATATAGTCAGTATTCAGTAAATCATGAGACGATGTACAACTATTACTACAATCATGAAGAAAATTCTCATTATTAACTAAATCTATCGCAGATAATGGAAAAACATGTCGCCATCTATTATCGGTTTGTATTCTATATACTGGACAGCCAAGTCTAGTCCGATTAGTCTCTTCAAACCATTTCACAATAATAAATACATACAACTTATTATCGTTACCTTGGTGACTAAAAATTGCTTCAACAATAGCGTAACTTTCATTGTAATCTTGTATTTGCATCATAACAACATCTCCAATACGCAAGTGATTTTTAGTGAAAGTGCCATGTTCATTTTTGTAAAAATATGTCGCGAGTTCATAAATGAAAATTTTTTTGTGTATCAAGGCAGCATTATAACCCATATCTGAATATGATATCATTAATTCTGATCGGAATAATGGTCCATATAGATCTACAGAAACGTTCCCTAGCTTTAATATTGATATACGTTGCCTAAGAGATAACTTAACAATATTTTCGGCTTTTGTTTGTACTAAAGAATAGAACAAAGTAAAAAAATAATCTAATATAATAAAACCAATGAAATATCAAAAACTAACCATTTGTTTCAATATCACTGTCATAAGGTTGTTCTTCAATAATAAACCAATCACCAGCTATCCGTGCAAAATCATCTGATAAATTAGTGAAACCTTCACAAAATTTGGATATCCTTGGATCGATGCCACCTTCAATTAAGTGTCGTAATGCAAAAAGTGTCGTATATCTTTTCATTAAATCCAATTCAATATTTTTTTGATTCATCTTTGGTACCATTCCCTTAAAAATTTTATGCACAATTTCTTTGACACCTACAGAAGAATTAATTAATGTGGCAAAAGTTTTTGCATTTTTAACTAGATGAAAATTTGCATGTAGGTTTGGTAAATTACTAAATTCCTCAAATGCCTATGAAAAAAATATAGTAAATACAGCTATATTGAAATAATTTGATAATATTAATATACAATATTATAATATAATTAATAATAGTAGTAATTACCTGTGAGAGAATTATCATCTCCGTTTCTAAACATCGCTGCAATTCCATATAATCATCTTTACTAAAAGACTCTTTAAAAATGAAAGCTGTTGTTTCCGCTATAGTTTTCCAGCATGTAATGATAATTTTAGTAGCTGCATTACCCTGATTAACATTGCACCTTTGTTGAATTGTAGAAAGATCTAATTTTTTTATGCATGATGGTTCTAAAAATTGATTCAAAATAAATGGCATCATCATAGCTAACCTAAGGCAATCGGACATCATAAAGCTATCATGATGACCTACAGGATTTGGCAATTTATGCCATTGTTTAGGATATTCAAAATGTTTCCATATTTCTAAAAATTTTTTTTTCCCTTCTTGTGAAAGAAGATTCATAGTTATACTTAATAATCTTTGAATTTTTCCAGCAGTTAGGTGATAAACATCCTGTGGAGTTTGCAAATGCCGTTCTCTTTTCAAGTGTTCTAATATTGATTTTTTTGTACAAAGTCCATAATTTGTAGCAATACTTTTCTGACCCACTATTGTTGTTGCTAAATTTATTTCTTCAAATTGAGTATCTGTAACATGATGATAACGAGATATTGCAGCTATATCTAAATTTGGGTTAGTAAAAATATCCCTAGTTGCCTGACAAGATCGGCAACCTTTTACAGCAATGTGACGTTTAACACCTGTAAGATCATTTCCTTGCGGTAAATCTGCAGTAATTTGTCCAATGCTCGCTATAATTAATGAATCTTGTCCATTTATTTTGAAAATCTTACCTTTTTCTAACTGCTTCATTTCGTTAATAAATGGCTTAATAAATTCGTTGAAATTACCTCCAAATGGGACAAATCCAAGTATAAAGTGATTTTTTAGTTGCTTTCTCATATTAAATGGCATGTTTCCAAATTGTATATAGACTCCTCCAAGAGAGTGATAAACATTCCTGTAGGTTCCAAAATCGTCGTAGTACAAATCAACAAATAATTTGTATACTGGCAATGCATCTTCATAATTTTGTGTCAATTCTAACTTAGCATATTCAGATGGATGCTTATACTCCAATGATACTGATCTCAATTTCCAGCGGTTATTATGTTTATATAAAATCTCATTAATATGTCCTTCAGCATTTGGATCTTTTGAAATATTGACACGTTTGATAACATCTTGAGGTTCAATTAGTATAACTGCATTATTTTCATTACGATCAAGTAACCAAAATTCACCTTGCTCATAACTTCTTGATCGAGAGTTACTTTTAAAATTTGTTGGAAGCTCATTATAGGTTAATATACGTTGTATTTTTAATTTGTAGCCATCGTTTCCATATAAAATAGCCAAAAGACGTCCTAATTTTCTTCTATTATTGTCATTATAGCATAAATATTCTCCAATTTGATATTTAACTATAAAAAAATAAATATTTAAAATTCTAAATAAGCTATTCCTATAAAAATTAAATACTGTACTATATATATTTCTCTATAAATATTACCTTGTCTTATCATAATACTATTATCGCCAAAACAAGGAGATTCACCCCAAATTTCTCCATGCCAGAATTCTGAATGTTCTTCAGTTTCAATGGCTGGTCCAAAGTACATCCGATCAAATATTGATTTATTGTTAAGAATATGCCATATTATATCTGATATTGATAAATAATAAGCAGGCTTAATACTAGGAGTTATTGATGGAGTTTTTTTAGTAGATATTTTAATGGAATGTGATCGAATAGGTATTAACGGTAAACGTCGCCGCCACTCTCTAAATTGTCTGTTATTTGAAATAATATCACTTACACGAAATTGTGGATGCTTTAATATGTCAACTAACTCATCATACGCACGTGTAGAAATGCTGTGTTTTTGAATCCAACAAAAAAGTAATGTGGCAGTAATACTTTCAAAATATGGTCCAAATTCACAATCATTTTGTAGTAACTTATCTGATTTTAATGCCTCATCAACAATTGCCTCGCTAATAATAGTATTTATATCATCTTCAAAATTATCATCTTCATTCAGATCATTATCATCATCATTAAAATCATTGTCTTTCAGGTTATCATTATTATCATCATCATTAAAATTGTCATCACTGTCATCTTCGTTCAGATCATTATCATCATTATTAAAGTTGTTGTAACTGTCATCTTCGTTCAGATTATTATCATCATCGTTAAAATCGTTGTAACTGTCATCTTCGTTCAGATTATTATCATCATCGTTAAAATCGTTGTAACTGTCATCTTCGTTCAGATTATTATCATTATCGTTAAAATCGTTGTAACTGTCATCTTCATTTAGATTATCATCATTGTTATCATTTATATTTATATTATTAGCCTCACCTATATCATTATCTTTTTCATTCAAATTATGATCGTTTATATTTAAATTATTACTATTCAAATTGACTTCATTTTCGTTTAAAACATTTGAAGATGTGTTTGTAAAAAACTTATGGCGTAAATAAAATGGTTTTTTATGTAAAGAATTAATTCTATTTCGAATCATGCTTATATTTTTTTAAAATATTTTAAAAGTAGAAATAAAAAAAATTTGAGAAAACTTTACCAAAAAATATATTTAGGTTAAAAATAAAATTTTTATGAGAAAAACTTTACCGAAAAATATATTTAAGTTAAATTAGTTAGGCTTTTTATTCATATTAGTCATAATATCTTTTTTTATTAATATTAGTTATATAAAAAGTCAAAAAAAGTTAAATCGCGTTAATTAGTAATCAATAAATAACATCAGATTTTATTGGAAACGAAAATTAAATTCTCATGATATTAATAAGCTAAGTAAAAAATATATAATAGGATCATATTAATTTATTATTGATAATCTAGTTAATTCTCTCTTTAAAAAATAAATTGAAGAAATAATAAAAACTATCATGCCACCAAGAACACGTAATAATAGTAGAATTCAAGAAAAAGTAGTACAGACTACTTCAATTCAAAATAAACAGAAACTAACATATACTAGGCAAAAAAAAGCAGAAACGCTGCAATCTACTATAATTGGTGTTGAAGGGTCGCAAAAAAAACAAAAACGATCATATACTAGTAGACAAAAAGAAGCAGCAATACAACTATCAGATGTCTATACTATAATTGATGTAGAAGAGCCATTGACACAGCAATTAGAAGATAGTATTACGCTAAAAGAAAGCAATGCACTTATTGATTTTTTAAATGAAACTAATGATTATTTGTCTGGTATTTACATAATTTATTAATATTAAAGCATATTCTATATTAGATTTAATAGTATGGTATATTATATTAGATACCGAAGATGATGAAACCGTCCAAAAAGAAGTCACTAATAAAAATGATCTGGAAAAATCATCACGGCCACAACCAACTATGCCACCGAAAAACCAGCAAAAAACAACAAAAACAGCAAATACTAGGATTGGCGTTTATGAAATAGATGATGATGAGGAAGCCGTTTCCAACCTAGTAAAGCTTAACGACAAGAAAGCCACTAAAAATGTATCTGGAGCCGTGGCAGGGTTAAATACGAATTCTACTCCTGGTAAATATTATTAAAAAAATCTATTGATTATTAAAAAAGTTTAACTCTTATTTGTTATATTTAAAATATCAGTGGCACTTAACAATATAGGAAATATGTTTGAAATATGTATATGGCTGTCAAATAATCCGCATATTTTACAAGTAGCAAATCAACTTTGTGCTATGAGAAATATGTCACCACAATCCTTTGATAATGAAATAACATCTAAAACTTCGACAGTTTTGACAGCATCATCAGTGCCAACACCACAATCTGACGACAAGGTACAAAAAAATTTTTTTTTCTTATTCAGTTATAGTACATAAATAATAAATAATAGCATTTTGACTATAAGGGATCTGCACGTCTATGGTTGGAAGAAGCAAAATGTTTATTTTTACGATGTCGATCACCACCTGCGTCTAGTATTGAAGAACTCATTAAAGAAATATTTGGATACGAGCCATATACCGATAACGCCATAGACATTATTAAACATACAAAAAAAGTGTTTGGTGATTTTTGAAACAATTTTAACAATGATATTGATGCACTAGTTACAAAATATAAAGAGCGGCAACAAAGGCAAGTATAGAGTTTTGTCACTACCAACCTGAGTTCAATTCTCATTAAAAAAAAAATAATAATTAATTAATTAATAAAAATAGTAGCATATTTTTAATTTTCTTTACATACTGTCTTCTTTAATTAGGAGGGTTACGTTAAATGACCTTGAAATTGAGGATTTTATAGATGAAGCAGTAGCCAATAAAGTATTCTCCAGATTTCTTGCTGCTACAAATAGACGACTTTTTAATGAAAACGGAAATATGGAAATATTAGTAGGGTTATTACAATCTGCATTTAAAGCTAGTTTCAATAAACGTGATATAAAATCTATCAAAGCACTGGATGCTATTACATGTAATATGCAAGTATTTTCAAAAAGTGGCCGTAATATCGCTATGAATTTGGAATTATATTAATAGTAATAGTAATAAAATGCAAGATAAACTCATAGGAACTAGTTATGATATCGATATGTAATTATTTATCGTGATAATAATGTTTAAATATTTCTGGCAATGCATTAATTTATTTGCAAACATTCGTAAAATATATAAATATATAGATATAATATATTTATTTTTCACAATATTTTCATAAGATTTATATATACATATTGTACATAAATTTTATAAATAATTTATAATAAACTTTGCAATTAATAAAAATTACGTGTGTCATGGTAGTGTCACGGTTATTGATCAAAATCGGACTTAGACTTTTAAGTTTCAAGATAGTTTTGATCAATTCTTTTTTTTTCTCAATTAAACTATCGAAACTTTTTTTAACTTTTTTTAAAAAGTTTTGATCGAATTTTTTTAATTAATTAATTATTTTTTTTTCAATCAAACTGTCAAATTACTTTTTTAAAAGTTTAATCAACTTCTTGAAAAGTTTAGTTTCGATACTTTTTTTTAGTTTAAAATTTCAAAAAATTTTAATGCGAGATTTTGGTATGTGCAATTTTTTTTTAATTTTATCCCTCTTTAAACGAACATTATTAACACTTTACGTTTTTTTTAGGAGGTTTTTATGTTAAATTTTGATAAGTGCAAATTTTCAACTTTTCTTCTTTACCTGTCTTCTAATAAACATTTTCTACAGTTTGTTTTCTTTCTTTTATTAGACAGTTGGTTCTTTAGCTTTTTGTGCATGAATTTCAGTGAGTTTTTCTTTGTTTCCTATAAATACTTTTAACGAATGGTTATTAATATTTCTTTTTTTTTAGATGGATCTATAATATCGATGTAACACTATTAAAGCTAAAGTTGATCGCCTTGTATACAGTACCAATGTACCGAATTCAAAAATCTATCTTTCAATATATCAAGGCGATGGTACGAATATTAGAGTCATGGGATCTCGGTAGGAAATCAGTTCATTTCTCTTAACAAAACATTTCCTAATATGTTACATTTATACTTTTTTAGATGTTCATTAGACACATGAGAATTCGGTAAGTGGGTTTTTCTTTGTGTCAACTTATTATTTTAACAAAACATCTCTTGACATTTCAACCCTTTCTTTTTAGGTGAATCTGGACGTATGGGAAACCTTTAATAAAAAATGGCTTTTAACTTTTTTTTGTATGGAAGAATTAGCTCCGACTTGAGAATTGAAATTCCAGGTGAACACGTAGATCATCAGGTCAAATCAGATGATTGTATGATACCATTGTCCAAATCAGGTCCCACCTTGTTATAGTTGTGTCACCAGGGGCGCTATGTCAACGGAAATTTAGTACGTTGATCGCTTAAAAATCCGCGGCTATCCAATTATAACAAGAGGAACATTAGATAATCATGCATATATATTTTTTACATATTGAAATAATATTATTATCGCAGTTTTCAGAATTCTGTATACGTTGTAATTACTTGATGATTATGATTACAGGACAATTACTGGACAATTACTGGACAATTACTGGACAATTACCGAGTGATTATGATTATAGGACGTTTATAGGATGATTATAGGACAATTACAGGACAATTACCGGACAAAATTGTCCAGTTTTTGTCCAGTAATCGTCCTGTAATCATAATCTCATAATCTTTTTAATTAGATGACCTGCAGGGGGTTGCACAATTTTGAAAAGCGCAATAATTACAAATGGTTATATTATAAAAGATTTTTAATTAGATTGTAATTTAAATTGTTAATTGCTATATTTAAGTTATTTGTAATTTACGAAAATTTTATGATGTTAGCAAAGTAATTTATAATGTCTTTAAAATACCGTGAAAATACCTATAATACGCTTTTCTATGTATATTTTCAATGAATTAACAATATTATAAAAAGAATTGTTCCGATGCAGTCAAAATACTGTGCAAATCTCATTGTGATACTGGATTAACATCGGAACAATTCATTAATAAAAAAGGATCGTCACATTACCCTAAATATATCTTGCATATATCTTAGTAATGACGCAATGATACCTCGCAAAAATTTAAGGTTTCTGCAAAGAAATATTTTTTTTTCCTGATAATCACCTTCACTTTTTATGGACTTATACCAAAACATTATTATACTAACTAATTCTCCTGCTGTTGGTCTTTGATTAGTAATAGCATTCATACATCTATAAGCTAATTTTTTATAAATTTTAGGAGTTCCTTTTCCAAATTCTGGCCTGAGTCCATTACATATTTCTAATGCTAAGATAGCATCATGTTTTCTTTTATGGAAGGGTGGTTTTCCAGATGATAATTCAGCCATAATTACACCAAAACTATAAATATCAGATGATGTTGTATATGGCTCTTTATTTAATACTTCTGGAGCAACATATGGCAACACACCACATATTTTACCATCTGATTTTTGTTTATTCAATGATCCTGATAATCCAAAATCTGAAATATAAGAAACAATAGACTTTACTTCTTCATTATAAATTTGTAATATATTTCCACTATGTAAATCCTTATGACAATATCCTAATTTATGAAAATTACAAAGTTCAACTGATAATTTAAACAAATTCATAATTTTATCTTTCCATAAAATATTGTTAAAATCTTTTGTAAGTACACTTCTTAAATTCCCCTTTTCTGAAAATTCAATAATCATCATAAATTCTTTAGTTACCGGATTTTTTGTCATTCCATAAAATTTTAAAAATGATATCTTACTTCTCTTAAAATAATTCCAATGTATTTGAAGCTATAATTTAAATTAAAAATAGTTTAAACATATATTAATTAACATAACAAAATTACATATTGTAAATTTGAATATAAAATATACCTCATTTAAATATTCAACTGATATATTCTGTGAATCATTTAACCCTTTCAAGGCAACTTTCATTGGGTTGGATTCTTTTTTTTTCCTAATTCCATCATCTTGTCTTTCATATTTCGTTTTACCATCAACCCATGTTGCAGAATATACTTTAGCAAATCCACCTTCCCCAATTTGTTTCATATCTTCAAATCTATCAAATGGTACCCATTCAAGAAATAATGGACATCTTGTATCATCACCCCATAATGGATATTTTGCATTATAAATCGTATCCTTGATAAATTCATCAACATCGTGATTTTCACTGGTCCATCCTTCAATTATGTAACGAGGAACACATTCTTTACACCATGGATTACAATTTTTATGGTTGATATTTAATTTATTAAATTTGGATACTAATTGTTTTATTTTTCTATTAATGTAACTCATTTTTATGATTAAAAATTTCGATAGAAAATAAATTAGTAAAAAAATTGAGCGTTTATTTAAATACTTTTATTAGAAAGGATTAAAAAGGAATTATATAACCAAAAAATAGAATAGTACGATAGAAATGTTTGTATTACAGAAATTCATTTAGATTGGCGTAAAATTGTAAAGCTGTACAGAAAAAAAAATGCTATGTACACAAAATGATCGACGGTATAACAGGATAAGTAATTTCGTAATTAACCCTAGCCGAATTAATAATTTTGGTCAAATTTAAGTTTTTAAACTAGAGTGCTTGACATTATGAAATGTTTTGCCAGGAAATTATTTACGGTATATCACATTTATGTTTTTAACAAATAACATATAAATATTAAACCATTTATAATATAATATAAAAGTGTTAATCTTCTTTCTCGCTTGTACTTTGTACCCGTACACACTTCATTATTTTTTTTATTTTTGCAATAACGATAGATAAAGTGTTAATCTATTGAATGGATTGACTTGAGCTGTTTCGAACTGGAGTGAACCGGTTTGGTTCCACAATAGGTTCTTGGTCAAAATTGGTAAGTTAGTAAAATTAACAGTAAAGTAACGGGTAAGTTACTAACAAAATTTAAGACATAGTAAGTTACCAAAAAAGAAACTATTATCATTAATATCAAATAAAGAAAAAAAATCATCATCTTTATTATATTCTTTACTATCATTTTGATTAATATTTTCTAATTCTAATTTTTAAATTTAATTTAATTTAATTAATCTCATCTATTAAATTCAAATATTGAATATTTTTTAAATTTCAAATAATTTTAGTATTTTTTATTGTATATTTAACGTTAACTGTTAGACATTAAAAATTGAGTCACGTGATTTTAGGTGATAACAAGAGATCTGCATGCCGGAATTATTTCTTGCCTTTATCGTAGCGTAGTTTACTGCTAAAATAGTGCTATCCGAAGGGTGAGGTCCTGGCGTCGGGATGAATATTTAGTTCTTAATACCAGATAGTTCACTTTGTTTCTTCATGTAACATTATAGTTATAATTGTATTAGACGGCTAGACGCTCTTTAGAATAAAATAAATAAATAAATAAATATTCTTGTTGCCTTTTTATAGAGTAGTACGTCCAACGTTACCTAAAATTGAAATGGAAGTCACGGGCGTCACTCACAGCTAAAAAATAAGATTTACCCAAAAAAACATATGAAATATATACAGTATTTAGAAAACATTGTGGTGTTATTCAACGATTCCAAACGCCAAAATTATCGTTGTATTGAAACTTATTTATCCTATTTAAGTGAAGATGGTAAAGTGCACATGAAATTAATAATAATTTACTATCTTGTTGTCTTTAAATACATTATTTAATTATCCTAATTACTGTATATAGAATCAATAGATGTATTCTTTTTTTTACGGTAAAATAAATGTGCGATAAATATAAATATGTTTAATTGCCGTTAATGAAAATACTCGGTTAAATAATAAAGTTGATTGGTCCTTCGTTTTAATGATATAATTTAATTATACAACGTATAATCCGGTGATTAAAACAAATCTTACGTAATTATTATCAAAATAAAAATATGACGCAGCGCAAATCATTTGATTGGTACTACGGAAAATCGATTCTAATATAAATTTAGTCTGAAACAAATCGGAATATATTTAATACTGCTCTTATTTTCCTTGTAATAAAAAAAAATAATCAACAATAATAATAATAATAAAATATCGTTGGAAATTCAAATCAGGTAAATTATAAATTTTAAACTAGGTTAAAAAACTATCTATAATTTTTTTGCGTATATAGAACGAAGGTTCTTCTAGCAACGCTGCTTCCAATAATTGAAACTAATAACCTTGTTTATGAAACCAATTCTCATGAATTCTCAAATTAGAAGAGGATGAGTTTATCACGCCCAGCAAAAAAATCTATTAAGCAACTGTCCGAAATAAACTATTTACATGCTTTGAAGGTGCTTTTTGAAAATTTAAAAAATGAGTTTTCGACTCAATCCTAAATAAATTCATTAGAAGCTCTAGTTGACACCATTCACCAGTTCCTTTAATTATTATTCATAAAGAGAGCATGACTACTAGATTAGTTACATTTAAGAACTTTAGTGATAGTCTTAGAACGAATATGTTTTACACCGATAGTACTTTGTAAATTTTGCTAAAAAATTATAAACTTTATCTCGAAGTCCTTTACTGAGATTTATCGTAAACAACACAGCAGGTTATTGAAATAGGACTTTATAATAACTTTAGGTCAAATTTTAATCAATTTAATCAACAAAACAATAATCAGCATGAATAAATCACAATAAAAGGCGTAACTATATTAATATTGATTTTTCATTAATCCATTTGAGAGATACATTTCATAGTCTACGACTTGGTTTCAAGAATTGATACGAAGAACTAAAAACTTTCTTAAAGCTGCATTAAATATTACACCAAGGACTTTATCAATGGCAGAATTGCGTTTCCAAAAGATAATTGTTCAATTTTATCATTGCTATTTAAAATTATTTTATAGAAAGTAAGTTATTATTTATTTAATTCTATTATTACTTATTGTTGTTATAATATTTATATACAATTAAACTAGCTAATTTCTTACTCAAGTAAGTCGAAGTTTAAGTTTTAAATATCCAGTATTATGTTAATATTCAAAATAATATTTTTATCTCGTCTGAACTCTGAAGGTTCTGAAAAGACTATTAGTAAAAAATTTTAGGGAATTGATATTAATAGAGTATATGGAATATATCTTAGAGCTACAGATAAACCTATTTTGGATTCTCAAACAAAATTTAAAGAAGTATCAAATAAAATCGTTAAGGAAATTTTATAAATGATCTTGCTAGAAACTAAGCCATCGCATTATGATACCACATACTTTGTGGTTTGAAGTATTAGACCTTGCACAAAATCTTATCTAAAGATCTACTCATATAGTCTTTGTTACTATTTGACTATTGAGTCACTTAATAAAGCACTAAATAGTTTTATATAATTCAAAGCTATTGAATTATAATTACATTTATACAATATTGATAATGAAATGTTTTTTAATGATTGAAATTGATTTTGATCAATACAAACAAAAGAAGTGAAAATAATTTAACAGATTCAGAAAAATTTCAAAATTTATTAAAGAAAATACCTTGAAGATTTAAAAATTTTAACTAATGATAATAGAAAAGGGAAAGAGATAGAAAAAAACAATTTATATTTAAAGATAAAACAAATATCGAATTCTAATGTTTTAGATTTTATAGTAAATGAAATGATTTGTCCAATTAACACTAAACCAACGGATCAATTAAATAATTTAAAAAAGTTAAGCAGAATCAGATGTTGATAGTGATGATTCAGAATAATTCAGAAATTAATCAGATATTGTATTAATAAAAAATAAGAAATTTATGAATAGTACAATTATTAAATTAAATTCTAATATTTCATTATTACTTCCAAAAATAAAAAAATAACATCCAACTTATCAAATATTATAAAAGAACTAAATGAAATCATTATGAAAAAGCTGAATCTTTATGTAAAGGATCTTAAAGAATAACTTTTAAGAAAAATTTTAAAGATGCATTTTAGCTTATATTTATAGATGACTTAATAAGAGCAATAATATTTATATTTAAAAGAAGCTAGTTTCTTAAACCCAAAAGACCATGTGCATTAAAAAATGATCTAATTAATTATTTATGACTTAAAAATTATGCACGCAGTTATGAAAAAAAAGGAGATTATTTAAGTGCTCTAAAAATATTAAATATGTTGTTTAATTATTAATGAGAAATTTTATGTAATATGGCACAATATATTAAAACTATATTATATTATACAAAAGCAAATATAATAGATCTAGAAAATATCCATAATTTTATTTTATATGATCATTTATTGCAAAAGTATTCGGATTTTTGGTTAAATTCTGTAAATAATAACGATGATTTTAATGATTTTATCGAATTTGGAATTGTTAATGAATTTAGTAAATACATGTATAAAGGTAAGAAAATATTTATATTGTTATTTAAAGTTATTTAAAATTAATATTGTTTTAGAATATAAAATTTATTTTATTTCGATCCCTAGTATAAATTAAGTGAGATATACAGGTATAGTTTTATATTATTTATATTATTTATGTTAATTATTTTGAATATAAATTAATTGTAGCAAAAGTTGAGTTAATTTGCTTCGTTAATAATAAGTTATGTTGATTTAATATTAATCTTTTATTCGCTATATGTGATACCATACCAGAATTCTTCATTATAATGAATTTTAATTTCTAACCCACCAAATTCGCTATAATAAGGATTGTTGACAAGTACATTTTCTGCATTAACTGCCGTGAAAAGAAAAAATTAAATTTGTGCTAACAGTTAAACGTAAAATAAGGAATGTTAAATATAGTACATTTGTGTTAAATAATTTTTCTAATTAGCAGAACGCACAATTGTCATCCAATAATTATTTGTTATATTACAAATATTTAAAGATGGCATTCGAATACTATCCGAATGATCCCTGAAAACTTGAATTAAAATTCGATGGAAAAGTTATCCAATTGTAGGAAGAGAATACAATTAGGAAATGAAAGTACCCAATTAAAGAAGAGAACAGTACAAAGTATTACTGCTAATACTGTATCTTTAAAAAAGAATTTTGAACATATTAGAAAACCATATGTTTCTAAAAATATATTGCGTTGTAGTAAAGATATGAATTTCTAAATGCTTCTTGTAAGAAATTTGCGTTATACTTTCAATGTATGATGATAATAAACATGTTTACAATACTTCTGTCCATATAATCTGTGGAAGTCCATTATGTTATATTTAATAAGTTTTTGGTAAAAATATAAAAATTCTGCAGCGTAACTTATAATTATTTGTAAATTATTATTCATGTGGAACTTTAAGAATTTCTCTTTTTTAAATGAGAAAAAAAAGAAGGAAAAAAAAGAATATTCTTTAAGATACTAACTACACCGTGTTACGA